TTGTCTCCAGAATCCAAAGCAAGGGGTGGGTACAGCGAGGCTAGAAGGCTGGTCTTAGGAGTCCAAAGGCAAGGTGGGGTGGGACCAGTCCGTGAAGGGTCTAACCAACTAGACTGGAAAATCGAGGTGATTTGAGTGCAGGGGATCAGGTCAAAGTGGGTGGGTTAGATTAAGAGGGTAGTCCAGAGATCTGGGGCACAAAGAGCAAAAGTGGGCCTGTGCCCAAGGCTAGTTGGAGAACCACTTTTTTATTTTTTATTTTTATTATTTTTTTTCAAAATTCAAAGTTTGTATATTTCTTTTCCTTTTATAAATAAGAACAGAAATCATCAGACTCATTTTAGCAAAAGACTTTTCTACCATTGCGGCAAGTTAAAAAATAACACAATGAAATGGAAGACACTTTAAGAGGTATTATTGTATTTTGTTTTTTAACGTTGAATTTAGCAGTACCTCAGGCCTGTAACAATCCTGGAACTTGTTCAGGATGAACATTACCCTTCAACTCTAGTGGCTCCATGAATCGCAAAGTCTGAATTTAGCAGGCTGCCTCTTCCTTCATGTCTCAGGGCTGGATACAAAATTGTCTGGGGAGTCTGAATACCAAGTATTTCCCCTGCCACTTTTTTATCTTTTGAGACAAGATCTTGTTATATAGTCCTGGCTGGCCTGGTCCTCACTACTATAACCCAGGCTGGTGTTAAACATGTAGCAATCCTTCTGCCTCAGTCTCCAGAATGCTGTGATTATACACATGTGTTACCATGTTCTGCTCTTATTTTCTTAAGTGATAAAACTTATGGTTATTTGTGCCACTAATCATTTTCTTTTACTTTTTGTTTTTACATAGTTATTGAAATTATTTGGAATAATTTAATATTATTTATGTCCATTTTAGGATAAAGAAATTAGCAAAAAGTTGTTGCCTTATTTCCTTCATACAAGAGAAGACGTATCTCTAGACTGTGCCTAAGAAATATTCAGAGATCAATATCATATTGATAGCATTCTGAGAATTATCAATTACTGTTAAATGGATTTTTTTCACAAATTCTTTAAGGTTATACTAACTTGAATAATAATCACCCCTCTATGTGCAAAAAAAGTATTCTGGGACTCCCTTCTTTCCATTTTTCTTGTGTTTCTTCATGTTAAAAGTTGTAGTAGGGTAGCCGGGCGTGGTGGCACATGGCTTTAATCCCAACACTCAGGAGGCAGAGGTAGGCGGATCTCAGCCTGGTCTACATAGTGAGCTCCAGGACAGCTGGGGCTACAGGGAGACCCTGTTTCAAAAAGACCAAAAAAAAAAAAAAAAAAAAAAAAGTTGTAGTTGGATTCAGTTTTTAGTTAATCAGTATCAACCTAATCAATGTCCTCAAGTGGTTTTGCTCTTTGCAATGCCTCTGCCAGATAGGAACCAGCTGAGGAAGAGACACAAGATCTGATCCCTCAGAAAACAAGCTTCAGCCTCAGAACTGGGTTGCAATAAATGTGACATCTGATCCTTGATGTTGTGTCCCCCTCCAGTGATTTTAATATGTGAACCTAATGTGCATATATAACCTACTAAAAATTGGTAGCGATTTTAGTGGCTTTGAGATATGTCAGAGTGACTTTGGTATGGAATCTGAGATCTCTTGTCACATGAATTTGAGTTCAAATTTTAGCTGTTAGGTCTTTTTTTTTTTTTTTTTTTTTTTTTTTTTTTTTTTTTTTTTTTTAAAAAAAAAAAAAAAAAAAAAAAAAAAAAGAGGACGATAAATCTTTCACTGTGATATATCAAAATAA